AAGAAGACGAAGAAGAAGAAGAAGAGGCTGCAGCAGTACTGCAGTCGATCCACCTCAGAAAATGGGGGGTGAAAAAACAAAATAATCGGCTACAAGTTTTCCTAGTTTTCATCTCTCTTTCCTTATCATTAGCAGCCGTTATCACTTTTTCTCAGAAATGTTCACCATGAAATGGTAAACATTGAGGCAACACCCATAGTACCATGACGCAGAAATAAAGATGAAAACTAGCACAAAAACCCATCTGATCACTGAATAATTGCTTGTCGCTTAGCTGCCGCCGAAGTGACCGGCCTTCCCCAATTGATTTTGATAAAACAGAATGTTTAATCAAGAACCAAAACTGTTCGTTACAAATTAATCCACTGATGTTGTTTTTATCACAAATACAAAAATAAATTAACAATTATTAAATAAATTAATTATTAATTAATTAAAATGAAAAACTTTATTCTTGTAATACAACAGCTCTTGGAATGCCCGACGATGAACAACACATTTTCTTTCAATTCATATGAAAATCATAGTGAAGTAATGAAAATTTTATATTGAATACCTTTGAAAATAATAATAAAACATAAAACTCAAAATAATTATTCAATATCAAACAATGTTATGGAAAAATATATGTCTTAAAAAATTTCTTGAACTCTACAAATATATATATATATATATATATAATCCAAAGAAAAAACATTTTATGGAGAAAGAACATAAATTTAACAATTCATAGACTATATTTCTTTTGGTGCTTATATCAGCACCTTAAAATGTCACTTGAGGGGTATTCAGAAACATAAAAGATCTATGGATTAGAATAATCTCCTGAATTAACTATATATATATATATATATATATATGTGTGTATGTGAGTGAGATACTTTCTAAAATACTTTGTATTGAGTTTTGGTTGTAACAAATTGCTTTTGATTGGGCTTATGCATTCCAAGTACATTGTTTTACAGCTTTAAGTTGCAGTTTATGTCAAATATTTGGCATAAAATTTCTTGAGATATATATATATATATATATATATATATATATGTATAATTTTTTTGACAGATGTTTAAACCGTAAAATACATGATCAAAAAATAAGATTCACTGTAAATTGTTAAGTTGGAGCATATGTAAGCAAGCAAAACATTTATTAATTCATTAATTGCTCAAATTTAGTTACAAAGTATGTGTTACATGAGTTTGATTTCTAATTACAAAGTTTTTTATTTTTTTATTTTTTAATTGCATGGTTTCAAGCTCAAAATTTGTATACGGCCACTGTAAATAAACTTTTTCAATCATACCATAAACATAAACTTTGTGAACAAGCATATAGTTTAAAGATTATTTCTGGGAGATTTTAAACTGCGGAAATTCAATTAGGAATTTTACATTTGTTTAAATTGCTTCATTTATATTAGAATAATATTACGGTGAATAATAAATGAAAAGTGTTAGAATGTGATAAATTGGGAAAATCATGGGAAAGATTCTTCTAAGAATAGCTCGGAAGCCTCCTCACAAGTTTTGTATTTTATTCTATCATTGTTATTATTATTGATGGGTATATATATTTATATATATATATATATATATATACAAACACATACGTGGGTTGAATCTCTTCATGAACTTCCCTCTACCACCACAGCACAATGACAGAATTCATATCGTCCATCTTTCTCCCTCAAAAATAAAGTACATATATATATATATATATATATATATGTATACACATATGGTTCTGTAACAAGTAGCATCTGTGTCCAAGTTTGTTTGTAATACATACCACGAAACACCTGGGAATGCTGTAGAAAAACTGGAAATATTCTAGAGGGAAAACATGTTGGCCATTGAGTTATCATTAAAATAATACAACCCCCGAAAACGAAAAAATGGAAAAGAAAAATAAAAAAAAAGAAGAAGAGAGAAGCAAGAAGAAGACGATGAAGTCAAAATACTTTTCAAAATCAATATACATTAGAAATAAAAAAATAATTTCTTCATATTTTAAGGCTATGCAAAACTCACGTGAAGAAAATATGATCTGTTATAGGATTCTTACATGCAAACACACACACATTAGGCTTGGAGTTCTTAATCAATCACAATTTTAGGCCTTATTTATTAGCCGGATTCCCAGTTATGTGACCTCAAAAGAAATGTAACAGTTGCCTAAGTAACAAACAAATTCTTGAGGGGGAAGTTGTGTCTAATTAGTTCTTTTATTTTCTCCACTATTTTAATGAAATACATCAAGATTTGTAGCAAAATTCAGACTTTTTAGAACGAAATATTCATTCGCAATGTAATTTTAAGACTACAATCCCGATTCAAAATGAATAGATGCATGTCTCATGCGTTGGTCTCTCAAGGCATCTTGTAATATTTGTCATCCTATATTTCATTTCTTTATGAAAAATCTATTATTATCTATCGTATTATTTTAAGATTTTTGTGCAATTCAAGCTTTTGTACTTCAGTGGGGGAACTTTTGGGGATTTAGAGTACGGCATCACAAATCCCACAATCAAAACTGAGTTCATTTTATAATGCTTTGAATCAAATTCATTTATTTGGAAATATTTTATTGGAGTTTTATCTGATCAAGGAAAGTTGAATGTTGTTAGCACTAGGTCGGAAGCTTTTTGCAGGAATTTTTATAAAATCTGCAATCATCTGCCTTTCAAGTGTTGGATGTCTCAATTGTATTATTTAAAAACAAATGAAAAAAACAATAAAAATGTGGATTCTAAGTGCTTCAATGCTGCCGCTGTTGTTGATGTCAGCCTCCTGCTCCCCTTCGTATTGATTTTAAACTTAGAATAATAGTACCAACAGTACTTATAATAACAGCAGCAATAATAAAACGTCACTGCAGAGAAAAACCAATAAGATAACATGTCATCACATCATTCAGTTGGAAAACGCTATATTAAGGAATGATGCCAACAGGTTCCGTTATGTCTTTACTGATTAGCATTATCTAAATAAATAAATAAATAAAATATATATACATCTTTTTTTCTTTTTCTCCTAGTTTCTTTCTTTTAACGTTCTTTTTCATCTCCACGTCAAAAGAACTAGGGACGCCAACAGGGACCAGCAGAAGGCGCAGGACCCAATCCCTTTCAAGCCCATCACTAGATCCTTCTGGATCGCAATCTACAGCGCCTGCCGATGCTGCGTCCGCTTAAGGGCACCCCAAGCACGCTTGAGCCTAATTATCATTTCAAATTCTCCTGTAATCAATCCCAATCAGGCACCTGAAAACAAGCAATCCCCGACTGATAGAAGTCAACAGGCGCTTTTCAAAGGGGGCGGAAGGCTCTCATCCTTGCACAGGCAGGAAGGAGACTGTGTGCTAGTCCGATCATTGAGCTCATCGAACTAGCAACAGTGACGACCCACCTCGCGGTTATGGATCATCTGCCCCCCATGAGCTTCAGTTGCCGCGCTCGGCGAGAGGCGCAGCTGCAAGGATGGGATCACATAGAGAGGAAGGGCTTGGGATCCACGCTGGATTGGAAGCACTGGGGGTCTGAAAATGGTGCCAGATGATCTGCAGGAAGCGATTCGGAGGCAGATTGATTAGAGAGAGAGAGAGAGAGAGAGAGAGGCAACTAAGAAGTCTTAGCAGTGGAAGTCCGAAAGCAGTCGTCGTCGGCGCACGAACGGGGTCTGGGTACCGCAGCACGGGCGCGCACGGGCACCGACGCCCGCGAGGTGTGTCGAGGGGCGGGGCGGGGTGAGAGGGGGGGGGGGGGGGGGAGAGGGGAGGGGCAAGGGGAGTGCCCGCGCCGCGATGACGAGGCTCTTGCCCCGCACGTTGCAACGACATCACTGATCCGGCGGTCAGAGCTCTGGTTTTCTCAAGAGCCTGAAGAGGGCCGGGACGGAATCATGACGACTATCTTGAAAGCCAGCGTGTAGTTGTAGCAGGAGGAGACAGGCAGGAAGGCGAAGCAAGGGGCAGAGCGGGGGGTGGGGGGCAGGGGAAGAAGGAGGAGTCGTGAAGTTGGTGCAGGTGGTGGCGATGCTTCGGCGAAGAAGCTGTAAGGACCTGCAAGAGTGTCAGCCATACAAGGCAGATCGTTCGAACTTACGCATGCGTTCCACTGAAGGGGGCGCTTGTTGTTCAGGCAGAGCCTGTAAACCGCAAACAGTTCCTTTCTCGAGCTGGTGTCGACAGTGGAGTGTTCTGCAAGCGCAGGGAGTGTAGATGTGGTGGCTTCGTTGGAAAGGGTTGTGACTGAGCCGAGCGAGAGCAATTTCGAGTATCTGACTGACTACATGCGGCTCGCGCTGCTCTGAAGGCTTTGTGTGCCAAGTGATGAGGGGGTAGGCTGGTGGTGGGGATGTTTGGAGTGTTGTGAGTTGTCGTCGTGCGTGAACTCTACCGCTGAAGTACGGCATCCTTGGTTTGAGTAAAGCGAGCTCTTTGCGTTGGTTTAGTCTTTCTCCTCCTTTAGGTCTCAAAATTTGTGAGAGCAGTGCTCAGCTACACGACCCAGTACCGATCGGTTCGGGTTGTTTGCTTTCTCTAGTGGAATCCTTTTGTGATAGTGGGCTGCTGGTATCTGGCATCTGCCTAGTACTTCTTTTTGCTTTTTTTCTTTTTCTTACTGGGGCTACCTGCAGCTCAACGCCTAGTAGGTTGCGAGATCCGCTGTGTTGGTTTGTTCTTGTGAGGTTGTCTGTAGGCTCAAATCAACTTGTTTTCGTGCAAGAGATTTTTGGGCTCCAGCGCCTGTCGATCGGCTATTGAGGTTTTCTGGTGGAATTAAGGCCTTTAGTGCCAGGGGTTTGTAGAAGCATCCGCTGTCGCTACACTGGGAAGATAAGGAACTCGAAATCATTCAGGTCTGTTCACGCAGCGAATTCTGAGTTAACCCGACTGAACAATCTCGCACACGATAAACTTCTATCTTCCTCTCACGTGTCTGAAACAGCACCAGCTGAAGCTCCTTGACCTCCCAGAATTCCAGCATCCGAAATTCTCATAATAGCAAACGTTGTATCAGAAAATTCTCGCTTGCACCAATAGTCTGGAGCGTTGAGTGTCGCAGCTCCTGCGTGATGTAGATCCTGGAGAAGTAGAAAAGGAATCATCTTAGTATCTATCTTGAAGTCACACACCATCTTCGGTGGTGGGCCTGGTCAATATCGCAAGTAATCCGCGTGTTGGTTGTGTCTCATCAAGGAAAACCGCACCTGTGCAAAGTCGAGACGCAACAAGTAAGTGTTTTCGCTACTCCGCTTGTTCGTGATCCTGTGCAGAGAGAAGGGAATATTGTTGTCTGGACTGCTGTTGTGACAAACTGTGAGCAGCGCTGGCGACCCTAACTTCGTATAAAGTGACTCAGATTGATGCACCGTGGGGGATCGTGAGGGCCCGGTACGAAAAGCCCTGGGAAGATAAGCACAAGCAGGCGGCACCGGAGAACTTCGGGCATGTTTGCATGGCTGGGGTGGAGGGTGGAACAGAGGCGGGCTCTCGACCATCCCCGCAAGGAGGAAACTCTTCCGATGAGGATCAAAGCGGGAGTAGCGTCCCTGGCCGTCCGCGCAAGCGGAGTAAGGGGAAGAGCAGACCGCCTCCAGGACCTGGTGAGCCTTCTCGCAAACCTCGAGGTCGTCCTCCAGGGTCCAAAAATAAACCTAAACCTCCCGTTATCATTACTCGGGAGAACGGTAATGCCATGCGACCTCATGTTCTGGAAGTTGCAAGTGGGCATGATGTGTGGGAGAGCGTTACAGACTTCGCCCGACGGCGACAAAGAGGAGTTTGCGTCATGGGCGGAAGCGGAACTGTGACGAATGTGACACTGCGGCAACCCACAACGCCAGGCGCGACGGTTACCATCCACGGCCGTTTTGAGATCATTTCACTCTCAGGGTCCTACTTGCCTCCACCGGCTCCAAGTCCTCCTACAGGACTGACAATTTCGTTTGCGGGCGCGTCAGGGCAAGTTTTGGGAGGGTGTGTTGCTGGGGCATTGACGGCAGCTAGTCCAGTATTGGTCATTGCGACGTCGTTCACAGGCGCGACGTATGATCGGCTTCCACTGGCGGACGACGAGCCGCCGATAATGCAAGTGACAACTGCCTCAGGTGCACAGGCAATGCAAGCCCCGGATTTGTCTTCGTATAATCCGTCGACTGCATTACAAAACTTGTACAACATAGTCCCACAGACCAATCCGAACCTGGCCAGTCAGCAAGCTGCGCAGGATGTGCTTAATCAATGGGCATCTGGTAGTGGGCATACGCAACGACCTCAACAGTACTGACTCCGAGGTCATTCTTCACTGCCATGTCTATGGTCTATGTATCACCGAGCGGATCTCGTGATTCTGTGATTTGACTGCAATTGGAGCTTTTTGTCATTCGGGTCAGGCGTCGAATATGGTAGCTTTAGGTTATGCACGCCCCCAATTCTCGACGCTCCCAGATACCGTTTACTGTAAATCCAGTGCACAGGGTATTTATTCATGGAACCTTCTTCTATTCCTGTTTCCCCTTCAATGTACATGATAGTGTCGAGCAACCCGCCAGTGACTTGTCACCTATTCTGATTGTCACTGGAAAGGATGTGCATCAAGTCTCCTTGCACTGATCTCCAGTGACGATGCTCGCCTTCAAACTCCTCATTCTCTTTTCCGTCTAGTAAGCGGATCCAGTCCATACGGTAACAAACGAACAGTCTGAACTCCGGGGCTTAGCCTTCGAGGGGTAATACTTGATCCCTGTTGGGATCAGTCACACCTATTGGGCTCTTAATCATATGGTTTTTCTAGGGTTGTCCTCGCACTTTTTCTGAAGGTTTCATTTGAAAATAAGGCTAGGTGAAGATGGGTCTCTAGCATCGTAGTATTTTTTTAATGTCTCGTAGGAGAATCGAACTGAGACGACTCGAGTCCTTGTGGTTATGTCTAAATGCGCCCGCCGTTCCCCTTCTTCACTGCATTTAGGGACCTAAACCTCTCTTGATCATTTTCACTTGCAGCAATTTTGCTAGTACGTGTAAATTCGACCTTAGATGAGTTGCCTGTTGGGTGCCGGCTACACGAGCACTTTGGTGGTCCATGTAACAGCGACCAGCTTTGGTCCCCTTTTGGGATACCAATGTCTGATCTATTAACATTTATACTGTGAGCTTAGTACATACATCACTGTATAGATGACACATGTTTTAGAGCTGGCCCAACTTTGAATTGAAAACGAGACACATGATCTGCCAACTTTAGAATTTTAGTCTATTTGTACCATTGAATCTGGTTATCCATTCTCTAAACTTTCAATTTTTCTGCCTCCCATGGGTTACTTGTATACCTCTTTTTGCATTGTCTGTTCTCAGGTTGTATGGAATGAAGGAACTAACGAGGAAAGAATTCGAGTGACTGCTTCGTGAAGCTGGAGTTCACTAATATTGCGATTTTCACATAGTTGTTGCCATGGTCCTTATAAGGTATCGTTAATGACCTCATAAAAAGTTTCTGATTATTCGTGGAGCGTTCAGTCCCGTGCTTTCGTTGCAGGGCTCCGCTTTGAGGTGTGTCCTTAACTTCTGCTTCTGCTTCATGTTTTGAAGCAGGTAAGAACTGGAATCAACCTGTAGTTGTTTCAGACTTCTAAGACCTGTTCTTCAATAATTTATCGAAAATTGTGTAGTGTATTTCAAAATCTGATTGAAGAGCTTTGATGTAAAGTGAGGCTTTGCTCGTTTTGGACCTGATTGAATTTTGATCTGAATCTAGTCGTGACCATGACCATGCCGATTGGAGTATTTTGTGTATTTTGCATTTAGTGGGTCAAGCTTTGCGATATACAAGTCTTAGATACGAGGTCTACTGTACAATATAATATGCTTTCTAAAGCTTATGACATTCAGGTACTTTCTTGACCTCTGTCCGCTTGTTTTCTTGTGGATTGTAAAACAACATTCTGCACTCTTTTGGTGTGTGCCTGGTGCCGAACTGGGCACTTGTTTACCAATAATTGAATTTTTCCAAGGTAGATATCAATTGGAGGGTCTAACCTGGTTTCGAGGCATGAGGTCAAACGTCCTTATCGCGCGTGGTGCTTAGCCTCAAAGTATCGTCGTGGAATGTATGTTCGGGCAGAGGATGTGCTGAAGTGGAAAGTAAGTTTTCCTGCATTGAATAGCATCGTCCCGGAGCACTAGGTGGTCCTTCCAGACTTCAGTGTAGTTGAATGCTTTATTTGTCGGACTTCACATTTGTAAATCCCTGTTGCTGTTGCTCAAATTTCTACTCGAGAGCTTCATTCCATGCTCAAGTACTGAATGTTCATCGTATGCTTTCTCTAAAGGGTTCATTTACGTCTTTTTCAAGTTATGCGAACCCGAAACATTTCAAAAAGTATATGTTAGCATGAGGATTCTTCTTACTAATACGCACATAGTTAGCTGCTCGATCCAGTGGATTCTGATTCAACTGCACACTGTAGACTTATTGCATCAGGCATCATGGGCTTCATTGATGGTATTGGACCATGGATATGGGTTCAACAGTTCATAAAATCTCTACACCCCATTCACATCGCAACCGAGTCTTCTAGTGTTCAGGGTTTTTAAACTCAAGCGCGTGAAGCCTATCGTTTTATTATCCTTCTTTGAATTTCTTCATCCATTTACGATTTGTTGAATGCAGTAAAATATTAAATGTTCATTGTATGCTTTAATTTGAGATGTTGCTTCTTTTTCTTATTTTAATCTGACACAGAGAGTAGGGCTCTAGGTACTGACTTCATGAAAAATCAAGAAAGAGGTGATTGCTAAGAGTTCTGGAGGTGTTTCACAGTCAAGAGTTTTAGTTTTTCTAGTAACTATTTTTTTTACGTGAGGTTAAGCTCCGATTCTAATTAGTGCATGGAAGGCAGCATTAAATCGCAGGTAAATAGATGAAATCTGTTGAGCTCAAACTGTACCTGTGCATTGTGGCACCCACGTCATCCTTGACCCGTCGGCCATGCATGACTTAATTTTGAATCGCTGGTAGAAAGTGCCGCCGTTTGTCTTCTATGCAAAGTCAACAGTCTAGATAAAGGATAGAGTTAGTGTTGATCTTATCTTATGGTATTGTGTGGTAGATAGAGCACCAGAATTGTCCTTTGCTGTCCGTAATCTAGTTATCGCTACAACACTGGTTCCACCACCGAAACAACTTTTATGATCTAATTTTAAATAGTAATTGGGTCGACTAACCTGATGCCTAAGTGTTCCTGTCGTGCCTTGGGAACTTATTGACCTTCCTCTCAAATTCCTCAACATGATCGTGGTGTAAAATCGTACAACCTGCACATTCTACCTCACAACGCAGAGAAATCATGCTTGGCATCTGTGATGTGGTTCGTTGTCAGGAACGACCCAATTAATTCTACCACAATACGATGTGAGACAAGTAACACATGGGAAAACCAAATCCAATACATCTGTCGAGCCGGATTGTCTAAACGGCCGAGATAAACACCCTGGCTCAGAAGTAGCAGTGCCCAAGTGCTCCGTTTTGCGGTCGATCAGCTGAACGCGAGCCCTTTCGTCGAATCCCATCTCGAAACTACTTCCATGCACGTCTTCGAAGTGCAACCACTCGTGACGCACACTCACGTGCTCGCAAGCAAAAGTCTCCCGCACCTACGACGAGGCGGGATAAAAACACGATTCCGGTGCAGGGTCCGATCACGTTGCCTCACCGTGCCGTAGATCGTGAAACAACCCGTTTCCGTGTGTAGGAACATGGTCACTTCCCGAAACAATGAATTTGCCAGTGAACCGCGAGACGCACTGTAGAAGGTCCTTCGGCATCTTTACTCCTCGCCGAAGCCATGAAGCCCACAAGGATGTTGTGAGGCAGGCAGGTAGGTGGGTGAAACGCTACCCTCTTCTGCCAAAGAAATCACTTGTCTGCTCCGAAATAGAAAAAAAATACATAAAAAAAGGCAGAGCACAGAGCCACAATCGTCACAATCCAGGTCATCGGGAGCCGGATTCCGGAGATCGAACAGGAGGGTGGGGTGTAGCGAACTGGTGGACCCAGGTCCTCAGCTTCGGCAGTGTTCAATGCAGAACAATCTCAAGGCCTGGTCCCACACCAGGGTCAGAGGCGTAAGCAGGGCTTTAATAATCTATAAAAAATCGGGAGTACAGTGCACTGCGTCCCTCCATCATTTTGACGGTAAATTGAGACAATAGGGCGTCGACAAATCCCTGAAAACCGTGGGCTATAAATGAGACGTGGGGCCGGCGACGCACGTGGAGCTCAGCGATTTCCTTGTGCACGCTTCGGGAGGGCCTCTTGGAGGAGGTTCTTCCTCAGTTCCTACCGCCCCGCCCGGCCCGGCCCCGACACGGCGCCACGTCGATATAACCGCCACTCTCCTATTCACAATTACTAACATTCTTGTCATGTTATCTTCTGTCTGATTATCCGTAAATCTTAATACCTTTGTTTTCAAAGTAACGTTGTTTTTGATCTTTTATATTATGTTATTTTATTTTAAGATACTTTTAATATATATATATATATATATATATATATAGTTTTGTTTACAAATTTATTTATTCAATTATTGAAAGATTTTAGGTTGAGATTGAGAGTAGCTGAATGACAAAAATTTGTAGATGTTTGCATATGTTTACCATACTCTTTAGAAAAACGTGTATTGACATTGTAAAGAAAAATACGTCTACATCACATATTATTATATTTTAATATTTATATAATTTATAAACTGTAATGTTGCTAGAAAAAACTTATTAAAATGATCTAGAGAAAAGATAAATTGAATATGAATTAATTTTTATATTGGAACCTTGTACTAAAACATTTCTTTAGATTAAACTTATTTCATGAAAGTTTAAAAACTATAAATACTAAAGAAAAACTACTTTTTTGATTTTCATTCTTAAGCTTTCAAAGTTAATATAATTTCTTCAAATTAAATAAATAAAACTAATATTTAAAAATTAATATTTTTATTAAAAAATAATTATATTCAAATATATGTATACTTGTGTATATATATATATATATATATATATATATATATCATAAAAAATAATTTATTATTATTTTTGTAATTAAAATTATTTTATTCTTCATACAAATATTTAAAAAAAATTAAATTATTTTCAATTGAAATCTGATGTAATTAGAATGAAAAAATATAAAATTTTAACATTACACTCATGATTGACATTACTTAAAAAAATTAAGTGCTAAATTATCTAATAAATAGAGTTTTGTGTTTAATGCAATATTTGTACAATTAAGAAAATTTTGAAAATACATTTGGTTAAATACTCAATTGATAATACTTATGAAAAATAAGAACACTGATTTTTTTATTGAAAATTATGCAAATAAATACTAATAAAATATCATAACAAAAAAAAAATACTTCACTACTAACCTATATATTATTGGTATCATAATAAAATTCCTTATGTGAATAGAGTTGTTAAAAACTTCAAAAATAAATAATTACATTATGTATGTAAAATTTTCAATCTATTCTTATATGAATTATTTGATATAATTTAAGAACCAACATTTTGAATCTTAAAAGACAAATAAGTTCTTTTAAAAACTATTATATCTATAACTTATAGATTGTATATACATTTTTTATACTAAGTAATCCTTTCAGACATATTCACTTGATTTTTTTCACATTTTAGTCAAAATTATTTTTTTAAGCATAAATTCCTTCAAGTTTAATTCTGAAATAATTCAAAATTTTGAGGTGAATTGAACTTTAATCTAAAAACAAAATTTCCTCAAAATATTCTAAAATAACAACTTAGCTTATTTAAGTTATTTTTTAAAAAATTATATATATATATATATATATATATATATATATATTTATTTAAAAATCATACTTAAATATCTAAAATATAAATTACAAAATTTTATATCCAAAATCTTAAACCAAAATACAAATTGAGTCTTTTTATTTGATATAGTATCTCTTAGCAATCTATAATAATGTCATGGATACACATACATACTCTAGTAAATATCTATATGATTAAGTAGAAGTAGATAAAGTAAATAAAAGTAGATTAATTTCATAATACCTTCTAAAGAAGCTTTATAGATGTTGTTTTGACTTTACATATGTTTGTAGTTAATTCTTAGATTAGAAACTTGGTCAACAATTTAACCATGTATTAATAGCTTATGAAATAAGCTAATTATGTGGCATACATATAGAAAACTTGCCTTGCAAGTTAAAGTATGTGTCTTGCAAAATCAATACGTTTTGGAGGTCCTATAGG